AATAGATTCTGCACGTGAATATATGTTTTTGCTGGCAGCGTTTTTATATTTGACTTACTCCATGTTCAAAAGGAAAAATATTGGTATCAGCAGCAGTGATAAAGCAGTATTTTTTATTTAAATCTAATGCAAATTAAAGAATAAAAAACATCATATTAATGGAAGATAAATTAATTCATCTCTCACTATTTAATCATCTATAAGCAAGCCAAAAAAAATTTTTTTGAATTTAAAATTTCCCATACTTTTTTAAAAATATCTACGATGCCTAACATATGTTTGTATTCTTGTTCATGTAATATAATATAAATTCTAAATAACAAGGCCGTGCTAAGTTTTAGATTAAATGATAATGCAGGTTTTACAAACTAGTGTTGGTTTCCAAAATTAGAGAGTTTCGCAACCATGCAAAAGTCAAAAGGTTTTGCCATAAGTCGAAAATAGTTTTGATTTTTGTCTATTGACTTTTGATTTAGATTTGACATATAACTTTTAATTTTAGTTTTGACTTTCGCCTCTTCAAAATAGTTTTGGCAACCAACACTATTACAAACAATACTATTGTCCTCCACTTCTACTTCTCAAGAGTAGATTAATTAATTTTACTCGAAAAATTACCCTTCGAATCCATATAATAATGAATGAATAAATAAAATAAACAATTTTACGAACAAAAATGCAAATATGTGTTACATGAAATCAAACGAGTAATTATTACTACTAACATAGAGATCATTCTGGTGTAAAGAATTCGACCTTCTATATTCAACTACAATGTCCTTGTCTACTACTACCTTCAAGTGACTAAAGTCAAATGAAAAGAATCCCAAGAAGGAGCCCTGCATAAGCTTTTTGGAAGGACGTCATGGCAGAAATAATGATTTGTATTGAGAAGAGTATTTCTAGACTGGTTGTTTAATGGCTCATTTGGTAAGTTCTGATCATTTCATTTCAATTAATGCGTATTGAAACAAAGGCATCATCAATGGGTTGTAAAGAATCTGAATACACAAAGTCTGAGATGCTATATATAATTTATAAACAAAATTTAAACTTCTGCAAATAAATCAATAAAAAGTCCCAAATTTATGTTGCAAGAGTTCTATAATTGTGTTATTAGTAGTGGCATGGATCCAGCTAAGACTTCATTCCATCACCTCTGATGCAGTTGGAAAATGGTGTGTTCAATCAGTTTGTATCTGCCTTGCAATTCTTTGGGTATTTTGGTAGTTCCTCAATTTTTCAAGGTGAAGGTAGGACCATGTAAGCCAATGATTATGTAGACGAAAATGGCTGTCAATAAAGTGATCAGTGTTTCGTTTCAGAATGTACACATGATTTTTATCTTTAGTATTAGTAAGTGCACTCTGTACATTAATTAAAGCTTTTGAATATATCCGTGTCTTGTATAAAACAATGGAAAACCCTCAATATACAGTCAATTCATTGAGAGAATTAAGCTTGTAGCCGATATTGATAATCTTAGAAAGAAGTTTGCTGAGGTTGAGGCTGAGAATATCAAAGCAAAGCTGAAAATGTGAAGTTAAAGCAAGCTTTAGAAAAAACATGAAGCCAGATTCATGAATCTAGAGCAGAGAGATAAAGAAAAGACCAACCTTATTGCCAAATTAGATGATGATATCAAGGAAATCAAACAATCTTTGGCCAATACTAGTATTTCTCCCGAAATAAATTCTGACAATATTCCTGGACAGATGGAAAATACATCTGATAATGCACCAAATTTTGATGTGTGTCAGGAGACAAAGACTCAATGCTCTGCATCATCAATTTGCATAGAAACTAAATCTTCAGAAAATAAAGAAATAAACAATTTCCTGGACTCATTACATAAAGAAAAGGTTAGATCCCAAGACTTATCTTTGGATAATAATTTGCAATCTAATAAAAACAAAGTACAGAAATTCATGTTAGAAATTTCTGAAAACTCTAATTTGCAGTTACAATATACTGGTTTTATTATCAATGGTAATGTAGATATTGACATGACTCCAACCTTGAATGAAACAGAATCTCAACCCAGCAATGATAACTTTACACTTTTATATGAAAAACTTTGTGATGCTATAATTCTTGCTGATTGTAAAACTCAAGAAGCTGTTTTGTGTTACTGCTTATTTGGAAAAGCTCTTATGCAAAGACGTAATGAAATAGCATCAGAAAAACAAGTTGATCCAGAATCTAATATAGTTAGTAGAATTTTAAATAAAGAAGTTCATGCTCAGCTTCCTGCAAATACTTCTGATGCACTTTTATGGAAGAGAATTGAAAAGGCTAAGAAGCTCTATAAACTTTTCAATGCAATAGGCATGGATAACATTTATTGAATGCATTCCTTTTCTGCTGATAGCATCTCAAAAATGACAAACAAAGACATTCAATATATCACAGACAATGTGCCATTTGACTATAGTATTAAGATAGAAGAATCAAAGATTTGATGTTTCACATCTGAACCAAGTTCAGGAAGTGATCTGTAAAATCATGTGACTAAAATCGTTGGATCAAATCCAACAAGTGATAATAATAATGAAAATTCTGGCAAAAAATCCAGGACAAGTACATCGCATATACCTCAAGTTTCCGATTCTTCTGGCTCTGAACCATCCAAAGAAAATGATCAAGATTTGAAATTACTGGAAACTGAGATAAGTATAAGTGCATTGTCTGAAAATGTTTACTAGAAAAATTACTAGAAACCGAGCTAAGTGTATCATCTAATCCAGCACATGATCATACTTATTTCTGTAATAAAACACTAGAACAATATCCTAATTTATATTGAGAATTTAGTAGTGGAAATGCCGATTACATTTTGCCCATTATGCAAATTAAATCATGAGGAAGGTGTAGAAGGCAGATATGAAACTGGGTCCCATTATATTAAATGTGAGCAATGTGAAATTGAAATAACCACATAAACTCCATCTTATGCCTTCTTGTACCTTTTCATTACCTCCTAATAAAGAGCAGGGCCATATAATACTGAAACAATTTCGCTCAATATTTTATTTTTGTCTTGTGAAATGAGGATGTTTTCGCATCTAGCTATTGTGAATTAAATTGATTTGGAATTATTTAAAACGGCAATATGAACAATACACAGACCAATTCCAATAAAATATTAACCTCTGAATATCTGGATTGGTATGCCAAATTAACTGGTTTACCAAGTATTTTAACAGATAAAATTCATTCCAAGTTATATAAAAGATATAAGAAAGAAACTGGGCTTGATCCCTGGATAAATCCCAAAATGAAGATAAGCGTATCAAACAAAACCCAAGAGGCACTATTTGTGTGATCGATTCAATCATTAACACCAAAGGAACAAAATTAATTATTTCGCAATGAAAGCTATTTGTTTTGTTCG